CCCTGTGAAATTTTACTTTTTTTTTAAAGCTTTAAAATTGGTATTATTTGCCACTCTGTAAGGTATAAACGTTATTTTATTCCATTTAAGTTTTAACTTTGGTATATGTACTATCCCTGCTATTCTCATTAGTGGTTATGTTTAGGAATTTCTCCTCAGTTGCTAAGGCAACTGCTGGGCAATTGGTGCTATCGGACACAGTGATAAGGAATTCACTTCTCACTGACCCTGCTTACAAGCAACATCTGTAAGGATTGAGGACCTAACATTTGCCACACCTTATTTGAGAAGTCATACTTTTAACATCTTTTATATTGCAATTTTATCAACCCGGAGAAGTCTTACTTTTACCATTTTATTTTTATACTGCATTTTATCAATTGTTTATGATCTGACACCTTGGCTCTTTTATATGTAAGAATCATAATTTCCTGTTTTGTACTTGATTTAATTTGATTTAACGTTAGTTTATCTACAATATGATTTGTAGCTCGTACTAGCTTTCAACGGAACAATTAAGTTGCAGTGTTCCGCTCTTGATTTAGGATTTGCCTAAACAATTTTATAAACTTTTAATTATACTATATTGTTAATTTGCTTATCTTATATTGTAATGCCATTTGCAATTGCGCTTGGTAATTTGTATTGTTATGTACAGTAACGTTTTGCAATCACACATTGTCTCCATTTGATAATTCATAAAGTCAGTAAAGTGATTTACTTTATGTTAAATAAGTCTAAATTCTGAGTGTATCAGGACAATTCTGGTGGGTATGGGTCATTCACTAGAGGGCAATACATTCACGTTATAGTGGACCTGGAGGCATTGGAGTGCGATTGTAAAATTATTACTAAGTTACTTTTAACGTTTTTATCTTTATCTTTATGTTTTATTCTTTAATTTATCATTTTAAAAAGGAAGAATGCATTAACCATCTTGATCTTAAGTACGATCATGATATTCAGATAGACGAAGTATATGCCAGTTTTAGTGGAAAATAGGCAGGCATAATATTGGACTTATTAGTAATAATTTATCCGTTAGGTTGCATCTTAGCGAAATGGTATAAAAGTATTGGCATACTTACCTAACCTGAACCTAAGCTATTATGTAACTATGTTGTTTAATTCATTTGGATGTGTATCTTGAGCTAATCAGTTTTGAACTAGTGTAATGTTGACTGATATAGTAATGGAAACGTTTAACTGATTTTTAGTTTTAATTTTGGTTAATTGCAAGCACTATACAGTTTTGATAGATTAATTGTATTGTACATCATGGAATGTATGTACAAGTATTGATATATTCGTATATTTTATTAGTTTAGATTTTTTAGTTTTAAGTGTTTATATTTCTCTTTTATAGACGAAAACTTAATTTTGGATATCATAACTTTGGATTTAACATGATTATTGGAAAGGACATGTAATCTTACCAGCAATTGGAAGTGTGGAACTCGTACATTGAACTTCTTTTTAAAACTCTTTTGGAAACACTTGGACAAGAAAGAACAATTTCGCGATCAAGAATTTGCGCAACCTAGATTATATTCATATTGTGAAATCAAATCTCACCAATTCATTTTTTTTATTTTCAAATAAATACTTAATATATATATTTTAACAAGGCGTCTTCCTGGATTATTATTTATTTGTAATATTGACCTGGAATATTTGGTTTTCAAGGAAACTCGGGTTACACTAGCCTACGAAAAGTTAACATATTATTTAACATATAATT